CCACGTGCGCCCCTGTCCCAGCAGCTGAGCAGTTGGAGGCCGCGCTGCCCGGTGGGCGTCCACGTGGCCCGCCCTAGCGGAAAGCGCTTCAATCAGCCTGCGGATCCGGGGTCCCATGCACACTCCCCGCCGGCCTCCAGGAATCCCGGGAGCTGGCACTCAGCCCATCAGCCCCCGCCCCCCTCCGCTTTCCCACCCTCGGCCCTGGGACTTGCTGCCCCAGCTCCGGCCCCCGGGGCTCCCCCTCCTTCCGGAGAACTAGGAGGATTCAGGGACCATTGACTCTCCAGCACCCGGCTCGCCAGGCGGTCTCCCCCTCATGGCCCTGCTGTGGCTCCCTCACTCCCTCTGCCTCTTGCCCCTTGGCTGCAGCCTTGTTGGGTGTCCCTCTCCCCACCTTGTCTGGCTCGTTCACCGTGGTGTCCCCCAGATCTTGGCATCGTGCCTGGAGGAAGGGAGACGCGTAAATCCTATTTGTGAGGGAATGCCTGGAAAAATATACGCGGGTCAAACTTCTAAGGAGCTTACAAGTTAGGGAGAGAGGTAGGTCTAGAACAATCATAGCTGGAAAGTACTTTCTAGAACAGCGGTTCTCAACCTGTGGATCGCGACCCCTTTGGGGGTCGCCTAAGACCATCGGAAAACATATAATTACATATTCTTTTTGTGATTAATCACTATGCTTTAATGATGTTCAATGTGTAACAATGAAAATACATCCTGCATATCAGATATTTACATGACGATTCATAACAGTGGCAACATTACAGTGATGAAGCAGCCACAAAAATAATGTTATGGTTGAGGGTCACCACAACATGAGGAACTGTATGAAAGGGTCGGGGCGTTAGGAAGGTTGAGAACCGCTGGCCTAGAAGAAGCTAGCGGAGGGCCCCTGAGCCCGCCTAGCCCCTCCTGAAGTCTCTGTCCTGTGTCGCTCACCCCCTCCAGTCGCCTGGAAGTCTGAGCCTGGGTCTTGAAGACTAACTTGTGCCACCCCCGGGAGCCCCCTGCTAGCAGGTGGCTGACCTTTCAGGGGCTCTGAGGTCAAGGCTGCTGAGGTGACCTGCTCGGGTTGGCTTAGGTAGGCATGGGACCCAGGCCCCTGGCCTCCCAGCCCTGTGCCCTTTAGTAATAACGGTAACCGGCATCATACACCAGAATTCCAAGATGGCAGCGTTGGACTAATCCTTCAAAAGGTTATCTCACTTACATAGTCCTATAACGCTGAGACCAGGATTGTCCTATTGGAGAAGGTAATTAAGTGAGGTAACGCAGATGCACCACTTAGGACGGTGCCCGGCACCGAGTAGATGCGCAATAAATGACAGTTATTGGAACAACGGTAGACACGAGTTTTCCTCGGTGGTTGTGGCCGTTGACGCTCGCGCCAGCAGAGAATGAGAGTCCCGGGTGTTTCAGATCCTAGCCGGCGTGTCCATCCACTGGGATAACGGAGAAATGAACATGGAACATTCATGCAAGAGGACACTATGCGAGAAGAAGAAGAAAAACCGCAGAATCAGGCAGCAAAGGGGACGAACCTCGCAGACATAACGTGGAGGGAGAAGCCGGACACCAAAGCGCATTACTGTGTGGCTCCATTCGACGGAAGTTTCATAAAGGGCAAAGCCGTGGCCACAGTGGTCAGACAGGAGTTCCCTCTGGGTGGGGATAATGACTGGGAGGGACCAGGGGACTTCTGGGTACTGCCCATGCTTGCATTTTTTTTTTTAGATATATATTGTTATTGATTTCAGAGAGGAAGGGAGAGAGAGAGAGAGAGAGAGAGAGAAACATCAATGATTAGAGAAAATCATTGATCAGCTGCCTCCTGCACGCCCCACACTGGGGATCAAGCCAAAACCTGGGCATCTGCCCTGACCTGGATTCGAACTGTGACCTCCTGGTTCATAGATCAATGCTCAACCACTGAGCCTCCCTGGCCGGGCCATGCTTTATTTCTTGATCTGAGTGGTGGTGACGAGGCTGTGTAGATGCATACAAATTCACTGAGCTATCCACGCAAGCTTTGTGCACTTTACTTAGGGTACGTTATACTTCAATAAGCAACTGCATTTTCTTTCCAAAAATATAATTAAAGCAAAGTAAAGCCAGACTTTACTAACCCCTACCCACGTGGGCGCTGGCAGTCAGAGAGATAAGGGCCGAGATGGGAAAATACTGGGGACGTGACTTCACAGGGAGTTAGGGCATCCAGCCTACTCCTGGGTGCCAGGAAGTCTGCCTGGAGGAAGGAAGGTTGGAAGGACGAACCGGTTTTGTAGAGGCAAAAGAAAAGGTATGTCTGAGGCAGCAGAAACAGCTCCTCAAAGGCTTGGAGTAGCCTGGCCGGTGTAGCTCAGTGCTTGAGCGTTGACCCAGGAACCAAGAGGTCACTGGTACGATTTCTCATCAGAGCACATGACCGGGTTGCTGGCTTGATCCCCGGTGGGGGGGCGTGCAGGAGGCAGCTGATCGACGTTGTTCTCTCATCTTTGATGTTTCTCTCTTTACCTCTCCCTTCCTCTCTGACATCAATTAAAATATATCTATTTTTAAAAAGACTTGGAGCGTTCCGAAGTTACCAATGGCCACTCGTCTGGGCAGCTCACCTGCGGGTTCTGAGTGCCCAGGCACTGGCTCAGCGTGGAGGGGGACGTGGACTTGGACTGGAGGTGGCAAACCGGCCGCCGGCGGGAGGGCAGCACCGTGGCCATGAGATGTTGGGAAAGTTCCTTAACCTCTTGGTGCCCCAATTTTCTCACCTGTAAAACAGGGTGATCCGCCCTGACCAGTTTGGCTCAATGCATAGAGCGTCGGCCTGCAGACTGAAGGGTCCCAGGTTCGATTCCGGTCAAGTGGATGTACCTCGGTTGTGGGCACATCCCCAGTAGAGGTGTACAGGAGGCGGCTGATCGATGCGTCTCTCTCATCGATGTCTCTAACTCTCTATCCCTCTCTCTTCCTCTCTGTAAAAAAATCAATAAAATATATATTTAAAACAACAACAACAACAAAAAAACCCACAGGGTGATCCACCCTCCAGGGTTGCCCTAGATAGGAGCACCCATAATGCATTTGCCGTAGCATCTAGCACAGAGTACGTGCTCAATGTGCATTAACAATTATTCATAAAAAAATTCAGGGGCATTTGCTTAGCTTTATACATGACGCAGGCCCCGAGGATGGTGGACGGGTCAGGACAGGAGCCAGGATACCAGACTTAAGGAGAAGTCAGCTCATCAGAGAATGCTTCCCAGGTAGGATGCTTTAACAAGGGACCCCAGACAGACAGCCACTCTAACCACTGAGCCGAACCAGCCAGGGCCAGCCAATACTCCTTCAGAGGCTCTGGTCAACTTAGAAAACTCCAGTGAAGCCCTAGCCTGTTTGGCTCATTGGATAGAACGTCGGCCTGAGGACCGAGTCCTGGGTTTGATTCCCATCAAGGGCCCTCAGATGCAGGCTCCTCCCTGTCTGGGGCCCTGATCTGGGCTCGTATAGGAGACAACCCATCGATGTGTCTCTCTCACATCCATATTTCTCTCTCACATCCATATTTCTCTCTGTCTCTCCCTCTCTCTTCCACTCCCCCTAAAAATCAATGGAAAACCAGCCTCAGGTGAGGATTAACAAAGAACAACAAAAACTCCAGTGAAGCCCGGCCGGCATGGCTCAGAGGTTGAGCGTCAACCTGTGAACCAGGAGCTCAGGGTTCGATTCGTGGTCAGGGCACAGGCCCGGGTGGTGGGCTCCACCCCCAGGGGGGGCGTGCAGGAGGCAGCCAATCCATGATTCTCTCTCATCATGGATGTCTCTCTCTCTCGTTCCCTCTCCCTTCATCTCTGAAATCAGTAAAAATGTAATTTTAAAAAACTCCAGTGAAAATTGAAATTGACCTTTAAAGGTAGCAGATGATAGAGCAATGGCTGACATGTATGGATTCGGTGCTAAGCTCAGGGTTGTGGGGAACAGAGGCTAAATTGAAGACACTTCAAGGAGCTGGGGGTGTCACCAGGTGTCGGGGGGGCAGCTCTGCAGCAACACGGTACCCCTGCAGCCTGGGCTAAGACGCAAGAGGGCCCCCTTTCGCTTAAATGTCCCTATTCTGGGTTTTCTGGAACCAGGCACAGCTGGGAGACATGCAGGTGCAGGGGCGAGGGGGTGGGGGTCTGAGAGAGGAGACCTTGCCACCACCCTGCTGGGCAGGGAATCCCACTTCCCTTTAGGCACCTAGACGGGCAGGGGGTCTTGGCCAATCAGAGCACCACATTCCTGAACCTCGCAATTGGTTCAGGGGAAGACACGTGACCCGAGCTGGGCCAATGAACATCCTCCGGTGCTGCTAGGCCCATAGAGAAGTGGGCCTGGTAGCAGGACGCCATCTTGCCGCTCAGGGTGATGGGAAACCGGCTTCTGATTGGTTGGGTTCCACACAGGCTCAGGACTGGAGTCCTGCGATGAAGTTCCCGGATGCTGGAGCCAGTGACTGGTGGTCTCGTGTGTCCCGGGCCTGTCGGGCTGGGTTTCTCAGGACTTGCAACCAAGAGGGTCATGAGTGAGTGACAGGGGGGAACCCTCCACCTTGGACCTGCAGGCCCCGTGGGTGCAGCAGAAACAGCCTCCTCCGCGGCTTGGCGTTGCCTGGCGGGTGTCGCTCCTCCATGCCCCGGCATCCCGACCTCCCCCGCGCCAGCCTCCATCATCTGGGGGACCCAGGAGCCCCCGCGGCCCCCACCCTCGGGACATGTGGGCGCAGCAGGACTGGGACTGCAGAGCTGTCACTGCGGCCTGGATGTGCCAACACAGCGCCAGCCTCCATCATCTGGGGGACCCAGGAGCCCCCGCGGCCCCCACCCTCGGGACATGTGGGCGCAGCAGGACTGGGACTGCAGAGCTGTCACTGCGGCCTGGCTCTGCCAACACAGCCCCCGCCCCGCAGGCAGGTGCCGGCCGCTCTCCGCAGGGCAGGCCGCTTCCTGCCCTCTCACCTCCCGGTCAGCCTGGAGAGGGGCGGGCACAGCCCG